TTTTATTACAAAAATATATATATATATGTGTGTATATATATATATATATATATATATATATATATATAATATAAATATAACATAAATATAACATAAATATAACATAAATATAATATAAATATAAGATAAATATAATATAAATATAACATAAATATAATATAAATATAATAAAAAACCGTAGATTGCAAGTGGTCAAATATATATATGTCCAATTGCAATCTACGGTTTTTTATTTATATATCTAAAATATGACTGTAGAAACGCCTAAACAGCAGCCGTGTAAGAAACGAATTGACAACGAAGCGGAAAATACTTCTTGAGTTGAAAATCGCTAGAGTTCTTTTGTCACTTACCTCGTGACACACATACATCCGCCGTGGTAAAGCTTGCTATGTCACGCGACAAGTGACAAACATCCGCAATGGTGAAAAGCGTAATGTCATACGAGAGGTGACATACGTTTGATAAGGGTTGGGTTTGAAATATAATTATTATCTTGAATTATAATTATATATTATCTATTAAAATAGATGTATCGAAATTTAAATGTTAAGGAATTTATCTAATTAATGCTTAGCGTTTATGAAAAATTTTGAATAATTTTCCTGTCCATTTATCATATTACGTGTACATACGAATATGTTGCGACATATGAATATTGTCCCCCCTCTCCTTGACATAACCTTGACATATGAATATTGTCCCCCCTCCCCCCCACACCGCCAAGCGAATTTTTCGATGATTGCGTCCTAGCAGATGCGAATTACATGAACCTCGGTAAATGTGAATGATTTGAGGGAATTTGCACGACAATAGAGCTATGAGAGTCATTCAATTATAATATGCAGTCGCATGTGCAATATGCAATGAAATAATACGAAACATATCATACGGATGGGCCCTCCAGACTCTTGCGAAGCGAATATGTACTCACCCGATCGAATAAATTGCCGTCATCGCGTAGTCTTGTCGATTTGTCGCCGTGTCGTCGTGCTGTGTCAAAGAGGTCAATGACCGGGACCGCGACAGCTGATACAGGAGCGAAACGCCCCAAAACCATAAACGAGTCGCAATATCGCGCCTTCGTCGCACCGGTACAATCGCTTGGATCAGGTGCAGAAAGATCGTCCTCCTGCACTCGTGCTTCAGAATTTTTCTCTGCATCTTCGATACACGAGAACTAAAGTTTAGACAAAATTAAAATGTGCACTTTAAGCGAGAAACAGGTTATACGGCAGATGCGCGTATGTTGGTTACGTGTGACAACGTGTGAATGT